TACTGTAAAATCTCCAGTCAGAGGTGGTATTTGCTGGTTCTCCAAACTACTCAAAATTTCCGCTACTGGTTCTCCAGAACTGGTCAGAACCTGCTGAAGACCACCTCTGCAACAGAGGTACTCAGTTAAGCCTAGACACCTTCAGAAGTTGTTTCCTGGCCTTCCGGAAAGTCCTTGTCTTAGCTGAAAACCGCTGTTTTGCACTACAATTGTATAACTCTACATTAAAAAAACCCTTCATTTGTTACATTTCCACCGATAATTCTTCTACCAAATTCAAGGTGATTTATTCTTCTTGTTTGAGGTAGGTTAAGATGCGACTGCTCTGAAGTCACCAGTGAATCCTGAGATGGGATGAGAATTCAAATTTAGATCTTCATCTAACCCTATTTCTAATTCTGAGGCAGGAATGGAAAAATTCTCCTTTGTATTCAAATGCATTGAAATTTTGGTGACGTCCCTGGATTATTTAATCAATGAGTTATGGAATTTTCTTTGTCTGTTCTGTGCTCCTCCAAACTAGAAAACTGATGGAGAGGACCTCACAATTAAAGAGAGACAAAATCCAGGGGTGGGATTCAAATTTTTAACAACCGGTTCTGTGGGCATGGCTTAGGTGGTGGGTGTGCCTTGGTGATCATATGACTGGGTGGACATGGCTTGGTGGTCATGTTATTGGCTGGGCGTGGCCAACTCAATATCATTCACATCGAGGCACGCATCTCCTCACCTGGCCTCTTATGACTGTGGGGATGCTGCAACAGTCATAAGTGTGAAAAACAGTCATAAGTCACTTTTTTCAGTGCCATTGTAACTTTGAATGGTCACTCCACACAAGCAAAGTACCAGCAAAGGAAGGGAAAAAAACTCCAGAGAAGTTCCTTAGATAGGAAGTCTAGTCCTGCCAAGAATGTAATAAGGGTTAACAGAGAGGCAGTTTCTGTAAGCAACACCAGAATGTTTTCTTCCTGCCTTCCTTACAGGTTTAGGCCAGCAATTTCTTCTAATAACTGGTTCTCCGAACTGCTTAGAATGTTAACAACCAGTTCTACTGAATAGTTGCGAACTGGTAGAATCCCACCCGATTCCCACCTCAGGAAGTCCCATTTTCACTTGCAGTGCTAAATTCAGATATGTGAACAGGATGAGTATTTAACAGAGAGAGGGTTGTGGTGGGGTGACCAATAGACATGATTCTCAAAGAGGGTTGAGGTTGTGGTGGAGAGTTGTGAAGGAATAGCAGATACGATTCTCACTCAAGTGTTTGTGAACATCAGGACTAGTTTACTTTCAAGGGAAGAAGAGACAACTGCAGAGAAGCAGTGAGAAACAGATTCAGAACACAAAGGGGATGTCACATGGTCTATCTGGCACTCTATCAATTAGCAAAAAAGGCTATCCTTTGGTTATTTTGAAGTTTGGTTGATCTGCCAGTTCAATCAGATTCCAAATGTGTTATTTCAAGCAGGCAAAAACCCAGAGGGCCAAATCTGGGATCATTTCTATCTTTTTGATGCCAATAAAAATATCTTTTTATTTCAACTATCATTCATTATACCACATTGGTGAGTGGGTGGGTGTAAAATAATATTTTATCAATTGTTCTGGGAGACGATTAGAAGGGCTTTTTATAAACATTATAAAGCAAAAAGCCTACAGCCGTAGGGCTGGTATATTAATTTTGTACTTGCAACGGTCCCCTTGAGCTTTGGTGGATAATTTTTTTAATCAGGATCTCCAAATGCCCAGCATAGTTTGTGCATAGAGTTTATCCATAAAAAACTCCCCATGAAGCTGTTATAAGGAGTCTTAATTCTGAACTGAGTAGGGGTTGTCATTGAAAAACTACCGTATGTGAGTCTGCATATCTGCACAGAATTCTGTCTACAAAGGAAGAGTAGGCTTTCTCTGTATAGGGTAGGGGAAAGGCACATTTTTGTTTGTGTATGTGCATGTAAGTGTGTATGTGAGAGACAGAATGTGAGAGTGGGAGCTTTGTTTTTTGTTGAGCTTAGTTGTTTTCTTGTAGAAAACAAAGCACAATCAAGCAACCACCAAGAACACTCCCACCAACATTGACAGGGCAAGCCACTTGTATATAAACAGACAGGAAACCCCACTCTCTTCTAACACTGATGATGTTACCTAGTTGGGCAATGAAACGTCTGCAAGAAAAAGAAACCAAGCTCAGAGAGTACCAAGGAGCCCACAGTTCAACCCTCAGCTACAAATATTCTCTTCTATTGATATGTGAGCAGTGCAGCATTTCCTATGTATGTATGTATATGCATGTATACAGTGTATAGGTGTGCATGTAAATATATTCCTACTTCTAAGTAAGGATCAAGGCCATGATGTCACTTAATGGTTTTAAAATTTTGGCCCTGGAGAATGAAAGTTGCAGGTTGCTTATTTTGTTTGCACTGTTTCTCCAACCCTAGGAAGGTTTCCCATGCAACATTATCGTTCGGATTTCCTTTCATTGCTTTAAAAGGAAACTTACACAATGTCTGGAGGCCTTGATGTTCTACAGTTGAAGGAAGAAGATATATTCAAATTCCTTGCTGTGGAAACCAAGCTGGGGAGCACTAATCTAGATTTTCTAATAATTTTCTTTCCAATAATTCTGTGACACCTAATAGTGGCTCACCCCTCTCTTTCAGGATTGAATTTATTTCATTTGAAAAAGGAGAAATTGTATCTCTGAGCATTTATGATCATGTTGATAGCTTTCTTGTGGCATCAATGGCCATAAATGTGTCTCTACACAAGAAGGATGAAAGCTGGGAATCTCCACTGCTTTTCAGAAGAAAAGGCAAATATGTTCAATATGTTACTCCCATTCCCGTTGCCATCACAGTTTTTACGATGTATCAGGGCACCAAAGTGTGGTGCTGTTAAAAAAAAAAAGTCAAGATGGAAGCCAAAGCTTTGGCCTTGCAGCCCCACCCCCTTTTACACTGTGGTGTTTATAGCACATACATCAAAAAAAAGGGCAGCACTTTAATCATGCAGTTGCAACCACCAATTTTTCTTGGCCTTTCTTGAACGTCTGTGTAACTAATTCCAACATGGTGTGAATTGGGCCCTGCCACTCGTTGTGACAGATTAAGCCCTTGTCTCAATGAAATAATTTCACTCCAAAGAAAACGAAGCTTGTTTGGAAAACCACTGTTTTTCTTAAGTTAATAATATTCATCAATATTCAAAAGGTGGGTTTGTTTGGCAATAAAAATATTCCCTTTGCTGTTTTACAGTTAGGGCTGTTGAAGGCCATTCAGAATGAAATGATAATCCCATATTTTATCAGTTCTCTCTCACACACACACCCCAGGATAGAGTGGAGAGGGATATCACATTTGTTTTGTTTTCCACCCCAGATTCTCTCAAGTTTTACCCAGATTAAAGTTTCAAGTTAACTCTTAAAAAGAACAACTGAAGCTTGCCGTTTGTGGGGTTATACCATATAATCAATTCCCCCCTCTTAAACTTCCTGAGATTCAAGGCATTTTACGTATCAGAGAAAACAATCCCGCTATAATTTTGACTCCCAGGGCTCCTGCAGGTCTCAGAATATTGGGGTCCCCAAACATATTGGGGTCCCATTAGTATAAGGATATTCGTCTGCAATTCTAAGGTGCATTCAGTATTGGGAATACAACCTGTTAGCTCTGTGTATAATTTGGGGTGCATTGCCTCCACCTGACATTTATGACTGGCAGAGATTTTGAATACATTTGATCTCCAGAATAGACAGCATTGGTTTAGCAAGGAGGCAATGCAAAGATTCTAGTCCTCACACTTCTGGATGTTCCCGCCTTCTTTAAATATTAGGCTATAATGTTGGGGGAAGACCTGCTGTATACTGCAAATTAATAGCCCTCATTTCATTGTTTAAACTTTTGGCAACCCAACCCTATTGTAATCAGAGTTTTTCCAAACATCCCGAGGCAAGTATTCCAGCCTGGTTCCCGGGTACCCCACATGGTGCCTTTCCCACAATGGAAGCTGTGGCAATCATTCAGAGATGGGGGGTTGTAGCTTCCTCAGTCGGACACTGAACTTTGAACGACGGACACACTCGGGGACGTTCAGGAGCTTGCAGCGAAACTACATGCCTGGTTTGGGAGGCTGTGTTCCATCCACTGCAAAAAGGAAGGGGGAGAGAGAGATGAAGAAAAGAATTAGCAACAGCTATTTCCTTTGTTTCAGCTGCATTCCCTAGGGCTAATCTTTCCTGCTGCCTGCCCCAATCTTGGGAAATAATTTTCTTGCTCATCTGTCAGGGTCACTTTAATTTTCATTCTCCCACAAAGCAGGAGCATGGACTGAGCGGCCTAAGTTGCTCCTTTCAAATTTTGTAGGTGCATAATTTCTATTACAAAGACGGCTCAAATTACATTAAATGCGTTTAACCTCTGCTGGGCCTCTCCTGCCATTTCACAGGTTTATGCTGCCTTGCAAAAATGCGAATCAGTTGAGCAAGTCCAGAAGTATTTCACGAGAAGAGTACTACACTCCTCCGCTTGCAACAGAATACCCTATTTCATCAGACTTGAAATTTTGGGCTTGGACAATCTTGAACTACGCCGCCTATGGTTGGACTTAAGCGTAGTACACAAAATTATCTACTACAAGGTCCTACCAGTCAATGATTACTTCAGCTTCAACCGCAACAATACAAGAGCACACAACAGATACAAACTCAATGTTAACTGCTCCAAACTTGATTGCAGAAAGTACGACTTCAGCAACAGAGTGGTCAATGCCTGGAATCCACTAACTGACTCTGTAGTTACATCCTCAAACCCCCACTCCTTTAACCTCAAACTATCCATTATTGACCTCACCCCATTCCTAAGAGGGGAGTATACAAGTGCATAAGTAAGGGGAGTACATAAGTGCATCATTGTGCCTCCCGTCCCTGTCCTATTGTCCCCATTTAATCATACCTATTTTCTGTATTCTTACTCATGTTTATACTTATACCTATTATTTTGTAAGCGATTGACAAATCAATCAACCAAACAAACAAATAAATAAGCAGATTTTGAGAATCGTTTTTCAGAAGACACAAGCAGGAGGGCCTTTTATTTATGTTAGTAACCAAAACCTAGCCCAGTCCCATCCCAATCCTCAAGCTAACTGTTCTGACCTCTGAAGAGGCTGGAAGAATGACTTATTTGTGTGTTATTCAGAAAACACAAACTTTTGGGAGTTGAAGTCCACACATCTTTAAGTTGTCAGACAAGTTGCGAACTGCTGCATTAAGACTACAATTGGGTTTATCCCAGCTTGTTGCGCTGCAAACTATCCAAGCCTTTTTTAGTCATAGTCTTAGTGTAGCTGGGGAATTCTGGGAGCTGGCTGGGGAATTCTGGGAGCTGGCTGGGGAATTCTGGGAGTTGAAGTCCACAAGTCTTCAAGTTGCTAAGGTTGAAAAACACCATATTTATGTATTGGGTGACCAGGACAACACAATATTCCGAATGAGCTTCTTTATCAGAGCAACTCAATATCTCTGTAGTGTTAAGCAATGTTGAAGACTTAATAGGTTGTATGAAAGCAGCCTAATAATATCAAAGAAAAAGGTAACTCTGACTTATTGGTTGATAAGTTTGACTTTTTCAAAGTTATCTTCTTCAGAGTGTAAAAGTAGTCCTCAACTTACAACAGTTTGTGTAATACCCTTTCAAAAGTTACAACAGCACTGGAAAAAAAATAACTTAAAGCTATTTTTCCCACTTACAACCATTGCAGCATCTCCACGACCACATGATGAAAATTCAGAGGCTTGGCAACGGTTGTGGTGTCCCAGGGTTGTGTGATCATGTTTTGTGACCTTCTGACAAGCAAAGTCAACGAGTAAACCAGATTCACTTAACAATTGCATCATTAACTTAACAACTGCAGTGATCCACTTAACAACCGTGGCAAGAAAGATCGTAAAGTGGGACAAAATTCACTTAACAAATGTCTCTCACTTAGCAATAGAAATGTTAGGCTCAGTTGTGATGGTAAGTCAAGGACTACCAGTAACATCTACTCTAATTGCCTCCACAGAACAATTGTTGCTTCCTGAAATGAACATCTCACTGGTTCATCCCTTTCACTATTCTTGCTCTGGCTTAAATGAGAAAGGAAAACTGACAAACTTTGCATAATTTCACCCAAGCCTTTGCACTCAATCCAAAGAGATGCCTTCTGCTAGGTCTTGGAAGCACGACAGGGAAACTTTAGCAAGCCCAAAACATCATGGTCTTTTAGTCCATGAAAAATAGGACATACATCCATACTGGGAAAAGGAAGGAGGCGGGAAATTGGCCTTTCTTCCTCTTTTTTTTTTTACAGTTGTCAAGAAATTTAAGATCTGTTTGTTTCCTTGCCGTGCTTGCTCCCACGAGTGCAACCATATATACACAGCCTTCTTGCGGCCTCTCCTGTTCTCCTACCAGCCTCCTGTCTTTCTGTCATTTTCCCATTTTGGGTCATATTCGTTAGGCTGATTTAAAAAGGAAAAAAGAGAAAAGAATGTGAATAAGTTAAAGAAAAATAGACAAAAAACTCCAAATGTTCTTTCCCAGTAGGGCAGCCTAGGTTGAAATGGACATGGAGGATAATGATTAATGACTGGAAAAATGGAGTTGTGCTTGGCACAGAACACACTAAACGTGTGTGTTGGCCTACAATGAAATGAAGTGCAGAAAGTAGGTGGCCAATTGCCCCTTGCCCCTTTCTTGAGGTTGGAGAATGATGCTTTTGATAGGTGGGTGGAGATCCACCTGGTGGGCTCAAGGTGGATAGAGGAGGATAGCTCTTCATAGGATGGGTCCAGGTTGCTTGAGAGACCGTCTCACCCCACTGGGATTGTCCCGTCCCACTTGTTCCAGCAGAGGAGGAATGCTGTGGGTCCCATCAGCTTGATAATTCCGGCTGGCGGGGTCCAGGAGGAGGGCTTTGTCTGCTGTTGCTCCTGCCCTCTGGAATATTTTACCCCTCAACCTGGATGAGAGGTTGGCCCCAACCCTTCTACCTTTTCATAAGGGCCTAAAGACATGGTTTTGCCAGTTTGGCTTGGTGCCCCCCAGTGAGGAAACAGCGCAATAGAAGTGGTTGATTGAGTAATAGCAGATCCCATCCCCCACCTGTCGGCTCCCACCCACCCCAGGTTTTTAGGTTTGTTTTTAACTTTTTATGTTTTAACTTGTACATAACTGCAAGCCACCTACAGTTGTGTCTATAACAAATCATCACAGCCAACTTTCCACAGCCGCCTCCCCATGGGACAATTCTCCATGGCCAATTCTCCATGGCACAACTCGCCACGGGACAAGAGTTACACTGATATTGGAGAAATAGTGGAATAGAATCATTAAAGAAAGGATGCCAAAGGAGGGACAGAATGAAACGTGAATGTCCCACAGCGAGATGGCCATGGTGAACTGACAGTGGTGAGTTGGCTGTGTTGAGTTGCCCCATTCCGCCAGAGTTACCCAATGGTAAGATGGGAGGCCAATAAATTGTACAAATAAATAAACAAACAAATAAATATTGTATATATTATGTCCTTCCTTGCTCTTGACAAGCAGGACAGAATGATACGTATTAAACCTGGTTGTCATTGGTCTCACAAAATCTGACAGGTTTAGCTCTTGATGGGGCAGAGTCATCAAAAATTCTATGCTACAGGGGGCCCACAAATTATTTCCCAATTGTTCTTATCTTCAGGTTGGGATAAACCATTTTACTTCCCCAGATAAAGGACAAAATAGACTCCCCCCTTCCCAGTTATAAGCCAATTGGATTGTCTGTTCAAGGTGACAACGTTGCTGGTGACATCTGAGAGCAGCAGTCTAGCTTATACATTTCAAGCCACACCCTATAATGTTATAGCTCAGTGGTCGCCAAGTGGTGGGCCAGGGACCACGGGTGGTCGATGAGAAAATGTTGGTGGTCCTCTCCAAAGTACTTCCACCTTGTGTGTGTGTGAACACTAGGCTGCACCGACCACATGGCCTGCCCACCTGCTGGTCACAAGACTGGCCCTTTGGTCATCCCAGAGAAGCTCCTCCAGTCCATGACAGGTCCGTGCATCTGGGTGGAGGAACAGCTGCTCTGGGATGACCAAAGGGCCAGTCCTGTGACTACCGCAGCTCTGGAATATGGGACTGACTTTCTCACCAATGTCAGCAAGCCACCGTCAGTCAAAATTCATATTAGTGATCCACAGGGTTTAAAATTATGAGTTTGGTGGACCTTGAGGTCTAAAAGGTTGGCAATCCCTGTTATAGCTCAAGATCTGGACTGCAAACATATGGATGATCATTAGGTGGTACTAAAGTGCCAAGAGTTTTTGCATCTGTTTTCTATCATCTGAATATGTGCAGCCCAAAAACAGTGGTTCTATTTGTATGAAAGCTAGTGGAGGAAAGGGAGATTCAGGTTTAGGCCTTGCTCAGCTCTGAAACTCCCCACTTATCTTGCATTAGTCCCTACAACTCAACCAAATAAGGGACTCGAGAGGGTACAAAGGAAAAAGATCTTCCACTTTGAGAAACTTTTAGGAAAACTTAAAAAAGAAGAGGGATAAAGAAGTGGAATGGGAGTGTAGCGGAAGAAGTCTTAACATGGAATTCCTGGGTCGCATACCATGTAGCCTGTAGGAGGCTCCTTTGCAACGTTTAGTGGGGCGCCGTGGGTCTCGGTTGCCCCGAAGGCTTCGGTGTAAAAGGGGCTGGAGAGGTCTCGAGTTGTCACTCATGCTCCGGAAAATTTGAGAAGGGAGGTTCTGACTGAGAAGACGAAGGGAGTGAATCTGAAGAACAGAGGGTTGGGAAACAAGTGTTCAGGAATGATGGAGGACACCAGGACAGCAAATGGGGGTCAAAGGGGGCAGGGGAAGGTAGGCTTTGGGGACTGACAAAAAGAGAGAATTAAAGAGAATTTGCCCTAGAGACCTACCTGAACGGAGGTAATATTGATGGGACGGTCAATGAGAATCCAGGTAGCGGTTTCATAGCATGGCGGGGTTGACATGGATCCTTGGTAAGTGATAAAACCAAATGTCTCTGGATAAAGGTCTTCAAGGCTCAGGTCGTGTAGAAGATAAGCGTCATCTGTTGAAATAGGTATTATGGCTACCTTAACAACGTAGGCAGAACTGGTGAGATCCATTTAGTTACCGATTGTGAACTTTCTGAATACTTCCAAGAAACTAATGAATCAGTTAGACATTGGTATCTGAATATAGATCTTTTTAACATTCATGATTTATTGTGTGTGTTTTTTTAAATTTAGGCAAAATGTTAATATATACTGCAAGTCCATGAATAATATGCCATATGCTAAATAAATAAGTAAATACTAATGAAGCACGTATTCAAAACATTCATGCTGTCATATACAACAGTCATATCCTCCCTGAATCTTTTGCCAAAGGTAAACAAGTTACTGGACACAGTCAAGCTTTGCTAACATGAATATTTCAAGAGAAACTTGTATGTTGTATTAATTCTCACTCAGTCCCCTTCAGTCTTAAAAATTTAATTTTTGAATCCTCAGCTACCCTTTGCAAACAACTTCCTTATATAATCCACATCTGTCATACTTGTTCCACTTACTTTTATAGGAGATCCGGGTAATTGTTTCTCGGTTTAGCAGCCTGGTCAGGAAAGAGTTAGGATTTGGTCCAATCTGCAAATGGAAATACATCCAAGGTATTGCTGTTTGCTGCTTAACTTCCCACCCATCTTGCCTATTCAAGTCCCATCTGGCGTCCCCTAGCAGCCACAGCAAGATACTTACATTGGCAAAGATAGAAATGACAGCTAAACCATTGGGATTGCGTGAAGCCTCTGAAATATTGGGGTAGAGTTCTTGGTTGTAGTGGATCAACTGCACCTAAGGGAAAGGCAAGAGGAAAAAGGGATTCTTTCCAGTTCAGTTTTACATAGTAAAAATATTACACATGGCTTTGGAGCCAGGTTATTTGAAGGACTGCCTTTCCCCTATCAGATCCAGCCAGCTTACTGGGATGGGAAGTCAGGCTGTGCTTTAGGCCCCATCTACTGTAGTAGAAATGTACATCTGGTGAGTCTACAAAAAAGGGCCTTCTTGGTGGTGGACCCTCATTCTCCCCCAGGTATGATTTGCCCCCAACCTGTTGCTTTTCCAAAAGGCCCTGAAGAAGTGGTTTTGTCAGGGGACTGGACACCACAAATGGAGATAAAGTCCATCAGGTTGATTTGATTGTGTTGCTGATGTATTAGGTGGGGTGGGGTTTTGTGGGTTTTTATGTTGTGAATTTTTAATGTTGTGAGCCACCCAAAGTCACCTGTGTATGAGTTGGCCAGTCATATAAAATTGTTTAATAAATAATTAAGTAAATAAATAAACAAATACTTTCTCGTTTCTCCAGATCTACCAATTCAATTCATTAAGTTTCAGAACTGTTTAAAATTCATTCCAAAATTTGTATCTCTTCTCTTAATTCATACTTCTTGAAACATTCATTTTTATTTACAGTTACTGCAAACAATTCTTCCTAATGTAGTGCATTTTTGTACTATCATGGTCTGGTATTAAAACTTCTCATTAGATGAAGACAAGGAACAAGAGGAACAAACCACGTGCAGCTAAGTCCAACAATAATTCTGAGTTGATGTGTAGTATTGCTTACCCAAAAATGTGAGATAAATTTGCATTCTAATACAAGCGAAACTAATTTTTAATCTCAGTGCTAGTATGTATACACTGGTCCTGTTTGCATAATTTATTTAAATGACTGAGGCTAATGGGTAGCTGAACACTACAATGCAGTCAACTGCAGAGCTATGGGAGATTAATTTTAGCCCAAGAAAGCCCTGAGGTTGTTACAAACTAAACTAACTCTTCCTCAGCAGCTGAGTCACGCAAAAAAAAAAAAAAAAAAAAAAGAGGACTATCAGGAGGTAAGTTACCGTCTCTTCTTGCTCCCAACAGAGAAGCAAAGTCCTAGAGTGGCCAATGTAAAAAAAGGAATGTTTTTAGGTCTCTCTCCGTCTCTCTCTCTCTCTTTCTTGCTACTCTTTCCTTCTTGCAGATTTTGATCAACCTCACCCTCCCATCAACATCCCTGATGAAACCTTAAGTAAATCTACAAAGGACATCTTCAGTGGTGTTAATCCTGTTTGAACCAAGAATTGTATTCACCTCAGCAGAAAAGCTGTCACCATCTATCCAGTGTTCTGAGCCAAATCCATCTTCACTGCCAAAATGCAGTCTTATTTCTTGGAGCCGGTGACTATACGGCAGAGGTCCTCCTGAAACATTAACCAGTTGTACCGGATCTGGACGAAAAGAGACATGCCGGCCTGTGTTGTACATGGTTCCACTAATCTGCAGAACACAAAGAGCGACAAGAGAGGCTGTTTCCATATCACATACAGGGTATCCAGAATGATGTGCTCCTTCCAGAATCGCCTGCAGCTGCCATGTAAGCATCGCCTATAAAACTTTTCCTAAAAAGGAAATATCGATGTTTGGGAGAGAAGGTCTTTATCAGTGCTGGATAAAAAGTGAGCATTATCACCACCTATTTCAAGGAAGAAGGCATCACCTTCTTCCTCAGGGACATCAACCGTCTTCCAAATCCAATTGCTTATTCCACTTCTAACAGTCTGAAGAAGCCAAGTAAAGTAACAATTCAATCTGTGGCTGGTCAGACTTCAGCCTCAATCTGCAAAGCTGAAAAGTCTTCCAGATCAACTTGAAGACCATGTCTTCTACCGAAGTGGAATGAGCGTGAGCTGACTTTTTCAGTGAAATGTTTGGCACACTTGTCGTGGCACTCCCAGAGGACATCTTCAGTCCCATTCTGTCCCTGAAGGGTACAGGTTACCTTCAAGAGGACCAGTTTAAGGCATTCCACTGCCGAATGGGACAACTCACCATGGCCAACTTGCCACAGGACAACTCGCTGCGGACAATTCAATTTAATTATTTAAAATAATTTAAAAATTATTTAATTTTTTATCATTCGCATTTTATTTATTCCCTCTTTTGGCATCCTTTCTTTAATGATTCTATTCATCTTTTTCTTCTATATTAGTGTAACACTTATCCCGCGGCAAGTTGGCTATGGCGAACTGTCGTAGACCCTTCCATTGTGCCACTGTTATCACTATGTGTAGTGTTATGTTTGGTTCCACTCGTTTTCTTGTTTTCTACCACCTGCACTTCAGCCATAATTTCTGCTGCTTCATTTTCCAGGGTTTCTTGATGACCATAGAGCCCTGCCAGCCTATGGACTGAAGAAGAGACTTAGCTATAACCTGACCCTCATTTCCTCCATATTCCAGAGATTAATGAGGGATATGACTGAACAGTCCTCCATAGTGCTGTTGGTGGCAGGGGTTGGGTGTGGGAGAGAGGGAACTAGTGCCTATTGGAAATGGAATGGATCCATTATTATTATTACCGGTACTACTACTACTACTGCTACTGCTGCTCCTACTACTACTATTACTACGTTTTTTATTAATTAAACATGAAACTTAGTCAACTGAACATTTAAAAATATATCACAAATATTATTGACTGGCACTAATGGTTGATATGGGATGCTGCCAGAATCCTAGAAATCAGCCAAGTACTATGTTCCAAGTAGTGCAGTTTTTTGCACTTCCACTGGTATTATTGTATGAAGTTGCAATTTCTTGATGTACTTTATAAAATTCTTGGACATGGTATCAAGTGCCCCAATGACAACGAGTATTACTGTTATATGTTTCATCCATAATCGCATAGTTTCAATGGCCAGGTCACAATATCTCGTGATTTTTTCCCCAGTTCTTTTTCTTCTACTCTGGCCTTTCCTGGTACAGTGATATCAATAAATTGTACTCTTCAGTTTTCAACATCTGTGATATCTGGCTTGTTGTGTTTCAAATGACGATCTGTCTGTATTCGAAAGTCCCACAAAATCTTCACTTTCTCATTTTTGACAACTTTGAGAAGGTGAAGATCTTGTGGGACTTTCGAATACAAACAGATCATCATTTGGAACACAACAACATCATCGTCAATATCATCATCATCATCATCATTTTATTCATTAAACATGAAACCCAGTCAACTGAACATTTAAAAATGAATCACAAATATCCCTGACTGGTGCTAATGGTTGATACAGGTTGCTGCTTCCTAGATATCAGCCAAGTATCTTCTTAAAATGTACGATGTTCCGAGCAACACAGTTATTATTGTTGTTCTTGTTATTATTGTTGTCTATTAAATATCAAATTTATTCCACATTGACTAATGCACCTTGCACCCTGTTTGGACAGGGTCGTGTAAAGTAGCACTTTCTCTACAGATCAACTTTCTTCTGTGATGTTTGTGTCTTGACAGTTGAACTTTGGTTGGTTACAGATCATAAAATAGATATGTGTATGATAATTTGACTGCCCAACAAGCCCAGTTTATGGTTCACTGTGACCTTTTAACAGACCCAGATGTGAGATGTGACAAAAACAATTGGCAGCATTCTGGTGAGGGCAGAAAAGATGTTAATTCCTTTTCCTGACCAGGCAGGTGGAAGGCCAAACAAAAAAACAAAAAACAAAACAAAAACCCAATCCCGGAATAAACTGGACTTACGAAACTCTTCAAACTTGGTTTAACAACAAGCAGTTGGTTTGTTATATAAAAGAGTATATCAAAGGTGTTGGGCTTGGAGAGGGCTTCCAGTTCTCCCTCAGCTGTAAAAGGCCCCTGAGGGACTTCGGGCCAGTCCCTCTCTCTCAGCCAATCTGCCATATTGGGTTGTGGGGCAAAATAGGAGGGAGTGTTACGTACACTTCCTTCAGCTCTTGAAGGAATGGCAGAATATGTATAGTCTTTGACTTACAACTATTTGTTTAATGACTATTCAAAGTTACAGTGGCATTTAAAAAAAAAAAGATTTATGATCGGTTCTCACATTTTATGACTGTTGCAATATCCCCAGGATCAGAATTCGGGCGCTTGGCAACTGGCACATATTTACAACAATTGCAGCATTCTGCCATCCTGTGGTTGTCATTTATGTCCTTTTCAGCTGGTTTCCAACAAGCAAAGTCAACAGGGGCAGCAGATTCACTTAATGACCACATGATTCACTTAACTGCATTGATTTGCTTAACGGCCAGGGCAAAAAAGATGATCAAAATTGGGCATGACTTCTTTAACAACTGCCTTGCTTAGCAATCAAAATCCTGGTCTCAGTATGGTCCTAACTTGGGGACTACCTGCACTTCCTCTTTATTGCTGGAATGCCATTCTTTCCCCATAGCCTACTTCCAAAGAAATGAACCTCGGAGCGATTAAAACATCTTTAGGAATTCTGAGCCCAGGGAGGGATTGGGAAGGAGTGGATCTTCCCAGGTAGTTCCCAGTAGATTCATCTTTGCACATCACCTTGGGGATTTAGCTGTGGAGGGCGAAACAAAAGGGCCGATCTCAGATTCTGTCACCAAGTAATATGAGAAACTCTGGAATGAATCCAAAGGTTTCAGTGCTGGGTAAAGTTACTTGCACTCAGGTGCCACAGAAATTAGCCATTAGTGCAACTCATTTTGTTTTACGATAATGGCTGCACTCCTGGGTCACTGATGCTTGCGAGTATAGCTTTCCCCAACCTGGTGCCCTCCAGAAGGCTTGGAGAGGCAATGCCCCAATTCCACCTTTAGCGGAGAGCCTCAGACAAGGCAGGCTGAGCTGGGAATTATTTTCCATCAACCTTAGAGACCCAGACGCACCTTCTTTCCACCAATGCTCAGTCGGAGAGGAGGGAGGAAGGGATCAAAAATCATTTGACTTGTGTTGACATCCACAGGAGACTGGCGTTTGCCAATGGCACAGAGGCTCCATGCTGAATTCACAAGACCCCAGAACGGAGGACCTAAAGAGAGAGAGAGAGAGAGAGAGAGAGAGCAAGCAATAAAAAAAAAAAACATATTCTCCCAGCCAAGGAAATATTTTTATCCCTGGCTCTCTAGGGAGCAATTATAGACAAGGGAGAGTGTTGGCATCAGGGGAGCCATTCAGCAAATGCACCTCTGTGCATGTGTTTGTGCGTGCGTGTGCATTTGTTTGAAAACAGCCTCCAGTATGTGTGGGCGGGTGAAGGAAGATTACAAGCACTTCAGTGTTTTCCTCCTCATCTGGTTGCATCTGTGCACATAGCTAATATAAAAAAGCACAATATAGACGAGAAGCTGGATGGAGTTGCAAATCAATGTACGATTACATCTGAAGCACTGAAGGACAGCAACAGGGCAGTGATGTCTGAAATGGCCACATTTCCCTGAAGACCCTCCTGTACTTGCAAATATGAAATCAGCAGAGGAAACATGTATTTCTAATTCGCAGGGACCATTCCTGAGCTACCTTAGGAGATATCACTGAATAGGCATGATATTCTATCTGTTCTTGGGTTGCCTCAGTCAGTCCCAAACGGATACTCCCAGTTGTGCTAACTGCAATGTCCATCATCCCCAGCCCAAGGATCACAGGAGCCATAACCCACCAGGATGGGAAAGACTGTACTATTTTGATAGAATGCAAATTGTCATCAGGTGGTGCATTAGAATCAATACACACAAACTGTACACACTGAAGTAAATGTGTGCCTGCACAAATACTCCCTTCTCTCTGGATGCCTTTTTTAATAATAGAGAAAATGTGTATGCATGTCATTTAGTCAAACTATATTTCTAGGCTGTCTTTCCTAGGCATACCTCATTTTTGTATGTGTGTTTGCTGGCTTTATTCAGCCTCAGCCCCTTGATGGTTCTGGCAGATCTTTGTATCCTCACTTATATGTGTACATTTAATTATTAATTCGCCCCCTCTTCCAATCAGGGCTTTGCCTCTTCTTCCTTTTGCCACCTTCCCCCAGGCAGGTCAAGCAGGTGGGGGGATGGGAGAATAGAACCCCCTGGTTTTCTGCCCCACATTCACAAACCCATCCCAACAGCCCATCTACCCCCCCCCCCCCCCCCCCCCCGTGACTGCTTCTCTTTGCCTCCCCTTCGCTGCATTGCTGGAACAAGCAAGGGAGATATTAAATATTAATGCAGCCTCTTGCAGTTGCCAAGCTGAGCCCAGCCCCCCACCTTAGCTCTGCACTGTGTACAGCTGCGGCGCAGTAGCGCTCTCCCCCCCAGCGCATCCCCTCCCTCACAGGAAGACCACAACAACATCCCTCTTCCTCGGTCGGCACCACCACCCTTGGGACTCTGCGAGGCGTCCTCAGCCTTCGACGTAGAGAGAGGTCACCCGTGAGGCAGCTGTTCTCCTCTGGCCTTCCCTTCTAATGGGCTGCCGGGAAGGGGTGCCAAATTTCTGCGCTGAGGAAACCCCACTCCTGAGCTCAGAATAAATTATGCAGATGCGCTCCAAATTTGCATGGGCTAAATCTGCCTAAACTGAAACGGGGGGGGGGAATTGATTTCCCCCACCACCATCTTTGGAAGTTTGGAAGAAGCCAGGAGACCTGGAGGGGGAAGGAGAAAAGGAAAGTGATCTAACCCTGGGTGAGAAATGAGATGGAGCAGGGAGGAGAGGGAGGAAAGCCATCAATGCTTCCAAACAGAAGGTTGGTGAGAAACCAACCAACAGACCATTCCTGATCAAGGGAAATATTCCCGCTGACACCCAAAGGAATCTATGTGGAGAGAGCCCCCAAATCAATATTGTGGTCACCCCCACCATATAATAAAAATATCACTTCTTTTTTAAGTACACGGCATATGTAGCATAATAAAAAAGCGGTAGGAGCTTTGAGCACGACTATGGCCAACATATTGAATGTGTTGTCACTCTCCCCTCCCCCAAGCACCCCTGCATCCATTCCCCACTATTACCAAATGCTGCCTGTCCTTGGACACACTGTCTTATGTCAACTGATGAGGGGGTAGACATGCCTTCCTGTTAAACAAAGGAAGTGCAGAATTTACCAAAGGGGCCAATGTGCAAGACTGTGTTGGTTCTGGCTGAGATATGGAAAAGTGCAAACTTTGAAAATTGGGCTTAGGAATGTCATCCCAGGAGTAAAAAATTCTTAACCAAGAATACGGACCAGCGATCCAGTTCCTTTTATCAGCCTGCTGGTTTGTTTCCCTCTCTCATCGTTCATTTGGTCATTTCCTATACACTTCAGTTTTGGACTGTCCGCAGATATCAAATTGCCTGCCGGGTCAGAAGATTTTCATCTTTCCATAATAGTCTTCATGACAATTCCCCATTCTCCCCCCCCCACTTTTTTTTGTTTGAAGTATGCTTAGATGGATCAGGGTAAGGGGTCATTTCTGGCGGTGATGCTAAGGGTTTGCAGGTCAATGTGACAGGCCTTGTAGTGGCATTAGCATTATTATCACGGAAGCATCCCTAGATAAATAGAACCATTTCCCCCAAAACAAATATAAATATTAAAACAACTGATACACAGTCTGTCTTCTTGGTCCTTCTAACCTTCGTAATGGCAAGTAAAGCTAAAGGTGGATTATTATTATTATTATTATTATTAT